TTAAGAAGCCCTTTAGTGTCAAAAAAGAAAGAAGATGTTCTATTTTTGGCACGTCAATGATGGTCATCGTTTTACTATAGTGCTATAAAATCAGTCTCTTTGTTATTAGCAACGAAGAGACACTAAGCGTCAAGAGAGTCAAAGCACAAGTAAACAAAAACAAAATCCAACTTTTTCACAAAGGAATCAATCAAATCAATAAACAAAAACGAACACTTTTGAATCTCTGCCTTTTGCCTGCTTGAAACAAAATCATGGGATGTTGCTACTCATTGTCTGCCATGGAAGATCGTCAAGAACAGACCCATCAAAACCATGGAGGAGGAGATCAACCATTAACAAAGTTCTCCTTCTCCGATCTCAACATGGCCACAAACAATTTTGGTCCGGAAAACATTGTTTCGGAGACCGGAGATGAAGCCTCTGATATTGTCTATAGAGGCGTTTTGGAGAGCCATCTCGGCTTGATCGCTGTTAAGAAGTTTAAGAATATGGCTTGGCCTGATCCTAAACAATTCGCTGTATTTGATTTTATTTGTCTGAAATACGCTTCTTTTCGGTTTTGAGACCGTTTATTAATGATAAGTTTTGATTCTGTTTTCTTCCTTTGTTGTCAGGAGGAAGCAGAGAGAGTAGGGAAGTTAAGACATAGGAGAGTCGTCAATTTGATTGGATATTGCTGTGATGGAGACGAAAGGCTTCTTGTTGCAGACTTCATGCCAAATGATACTCTCGCTAAGCGCTTGTTCCATCGTATGATTCATCCTCTTAATCTCTTCTTTTGTTTACGCATATAACATTTGGTGGATCTAAGAACACAGAGGCTGCTTTATTGGTTTATGTAGATTCGATCGAATCATAGCTTGATATCAACTTATTCTTTTGTGATTCATAGGGAGAAATCAAACGATGGAATGGTCTGTACGTTTAAAAGTAGCGTACTCTATAGCTGAAGCTTTGGATCACTGTAGCACCGAAGGTTTTGCATCGTACAATAGTTTAAGTGCTTATACTGTTCTGTTCCATGAGGTATGCATATACTAATAGATTATATTCTCAATACATTTTTATGTCTATGTCTCCTCGTGATGATCTAAAGATGCTAAACTGTTTTTATTAGAATGGTGAGGCTTGTCTTTCATGTTTTGGCTTGATAAAGGAAATCAAGGATAATCAAAGAACAACCGGTAAAAATCGGTTTGCGCTTCTCTCTTTAGATTGTTAATATCATCAGAATGTGATGTTATATTCTCATTTTAGCAGGAAGTGTGAACCCTGAAAGTGTGATATACAGATTTGGTACTGTCCTTGTGAATCTGCTTAGTGGAATGCAAATTCCTCCAAGCCATGTAAGTGATTTTGTTCAAGTCCTCTCTTGCTTGCTTAGTATTCTGATGGATCAACCATTTCTCTTGACTTTGTGTTTCATTGTCAATTTCTTGCAACACAAGCCACATATAAAGTATATTGAACAGTTGTTATCATTTTGCTTTTAGGCTCCTGAGATGATAAACGGAACTAATGTTAATGACTTGATGGATCCAAAGCTTGAGGGAAATTTCTCTACAGCAGAAGCTACTGTAGTTTTCAAACTCGCTATTCAATGTTTGCAACACAGTGATAGAGAGAGTCTCAACACAAATGATCTTGTTTCAGTACTTGAACCCTTGCAAACCAGAACAGAAGTAAGAAAGGGGGCTTATTGTAACTTCAATTGCATTCTTGTTTTTTTTTTTTCGCATTCATGTTTATACTGATCTTCTTTCTTGCAGGTCCCATCTTATGGAATGCTTGAAATGAGAAATCATGAGAAAGTATCTTTGACTCAAATTTCTCCACTAGGAGAGGCCTGCTTGACAATGGACCTCACAGCTATTCATAATATCTTGGTGAAGGCAGGATACGAAGATGACAAGGAGGTCACCGAGGTAACCAAACTCATCAACTTCTAAACATAACTCTGCCGCTAAATTTGCATCAAAAGAGGCTTACTATTCTTAATTTTGTTCATGAGCTAAGTTCTCGTTTGAAGAATGGTTTCAAGAGGTGAAAGATCTTCAAGATGTTCGAAAACGCGGTGATGATGCCTTCGTAGATCAAGACTTCAAAACCGCCATTGACTGTTATTCTCAGGTAGCTAATACTATTTCCCTTTTGCATATTAGTAAAAACTATGTTTTTGCATGTTTGCCGAAGTGTGAAGCCCTTACTTTATATTTATGAAGTATATTTAATTCGCAATCTATGGTTTATCTTTGTGGTTGTGGTGAATTAATGAGGTATAATATTTCCCTTTTGCATGTTTGTRTCGGTTTTAGGTCTTTATTAGTTCTTTCTCTGGTGTGGTAAACCGTGAGAGTTTAAATTCTCTATCCTTTCTCGCCTTTTGGCT